AAAAAAAAAAAAAAAAAAAGACATGTAAAGAAAAGGACAATGGAAGGAAGGGCAAAGGGTTTCGGGGACGACCCTCTCCTGGGAAGGAGGGTGGAAGGAACTTACCAGCATCAGCCGCGCGACAAACTCCACCGTCGTCCGCTTACACGCCGACTTGGACGTTACCCTGAGCGCATGGTCGAGCGTCGCGTGCAGGACCTCGCCCGCCTCGTGCGGGTTCGCCGTGGGGTTGCTCACCAGGGCCCACACGGTCGGTAACAGCGCAAGGTAACCCGTAGGACTTATTGGGGCGGCGATTTGCGACGCGGAGGTGCCTTCCCCGCGAAGGCGCCGGATGATGTATAGGGTCACGCGTTCTGTCTGCGTCGACGAGGATGATGAGGGTGCTTCGCCTTTCCGGTTCGCTTTTCTCTGCTTCTGGGATTGGGCTGAGGCGTTTTGCGTCGCGTTAAGCAGCATGGACGTGAGCTCGCAAAATATAAGATCGAATTCCTCATAGAGTGGGTCTAACTGTGAGCTGGGTCAGACGCGTCGTCGCGTGTTTCGTCAGGAATAAAGCTACCTTGTGATCCCGGCTGAACGTCGGGAAATGAGGTGCCATGTAGTTGATAATCTTCTCAAGTTGGCCCACTTGAATAGGATCAACCTAAACGAGAGAAGATTAGGGCTTGATGGGTAGCCACGGAGTTTCAGCAGCAAACCTTCTCTGAAGACTGTACGATGACATGATACAATGTTCGAGCAATGCGAACCACACTCAAGACGAGCTGAACCTCAGTTTCCGACGGGCTCAAGCTCGGAGAAAATACTGAAGGGGCGGAGTCAAGGTATGTTTCGATGATAGTAGAATGTAACGTGTTCGCTAAGTGCTGGAAAGGCGTTGAAACGGGTCGAGAACACGAGGAATAGGTAACTTACTGCAACGAAGGAAGCACTAGTGCCTTGGGAATTGAAAGTGTCGGTAGCACTCACGGCATCGTGAATGTCAGACAACTCATGAAGTGTCCATGGTTCGCCCGTACCGCCGTTGAGTAGCGGGTAACACTGGGTGAATGTATCTCCGAAGACATCCTCTGGGTCAACTTCTGCTTCCCAAGTCCGAGTGACAGTTGGTGCCTTGCTTGAGCTAGAAGTTCCAAAAAGGCTTTCAAACGCAGAAAAAGCTTCCTGCGACGGGAATGCATTTCGCATGAACCACGCATCCAAGGGTTTGTTCGTACTGACTCCTCCCTGAGAGGCCACCCCGTTACTTGAAGACAAGGCAACAAGGAGAAACTTGGATAGAGAGCGAAGGACTACGAGTTTGGACTGGGAAAAAGACGCTTAGACTCGGAAACCAGAAGATACAGTGCTGGGTTGACGTACCGCAGGTGTCAGGACAACGCTCGCGGTAGAAGTCGCCTTGACAGGTCCTGAGATTAAGAAATGCTATCAGGATCAGCCACATTTGCAAAGAACCAGAAAAATCACCCTCAATTTCTCCGTACTTTGTGCCCGCGTTCAGAATTCCAAGGTACCCTCCTAGGACCCGACTCCCATGGGTCTCGCTCATTTCGCTCCAGCCAGAAGTTAGGGTTTCTGGGATGCAATCGAGTAGTATGTCAAGGAAGCGGATGGCGTCAATCCTGATCTCTGGGAATATATGGGTTTGTGCAGAGGTCGTATACAAGAGGAGCAGGGGAGAATGGGGGATAAGGTTTTCCTGTATGAAGAAAACCGTTGAGCGAATTTCTGCGAAAGACGTCGGTGGTCATACCACAGAGACCCTAGGCAATAGCCATGAGAGAAATGTTATCAGTTGTTTCCTAACTGCAGCATCCTATCCAACGTTGGTAAAATCAAACTTGCACAATGTGGGGACTTGGCACCTCGTCACCGATTAATCGAATCACGGATTTCAGAAGAGGGGTCAAGCATGAGTCCACCATCTCCCCATGAGAATCAAATAACTCTCGCAATCCAAGTATCGCATCTGGAACGAGAATTATGAAGAGCGTGATTAAAGAGGAAAGACAGCAACATGCCTTTCCTCGTCCCCGCGTTATAATGCTTGAGGTGTGAGAGGAGATCGTTGAATGTCAGTTGGCGTTTCGTAATCGGTTCGGAGGTGTCCTTCTCGACCGCGATGCTCTGAGAGGGCAGAACGATTGCTAGTTCGTCTCAGCACCATCGACATGATACGGGGAGTACTACTCACATCGCGCCTTGAATGTCGTGTCTATCGCATTGTTCGCTAGTGTCTTGCCCTTTCCGAGCTTCAGCTTTGCTTTCTACACCCCACGAGACGAAGGTCAGAGCTAAAAGATGGACAGAGGAAAGGGAAGCCATACCGAGAAATCCGCGACTTTCTCCTTCCTCTTTTTTGCACTTTTGGGCATTCTCTAGTGCTTGACAATATGAGATATTTGAGCCCAGGGTACCTCTGCTGACAAGGAGCGGATCAGAGAACTTGTCCAAAATTTGTCTGAACATGCATCGGTTTCTCCGGGCCGGCAGGGTGACCAGGCACGTTCAACTTTGAACCAAACTTGAACCTGACTTCCAACTCCGAGACCCACGACTTTCCGAGAATGGACCCTATACAGAACAACCTCCTGTATCAGTAATGGTACATAACTCCTTTTTCTGTCGATAGCTTTGCCGCAAACGCTGTCTGAATCGTTGTCAAGATTACCACCATGAGCCCACGACTGTCAACAACGACTGAATCCCAAGCGCGTTCCTAACGTACTTACCACGTACACGCAGCCATGAAAGTTCGGCTTTGCTATTGAATAGGCACTATTTCCATGCCTGCAGGATAGTCCGACGTGTCCTGAATGCAATTCCTTATATATTATCGTTGTGATGCTCCTGCATCTCGTTCGGTCTCTTTCGCGCTTCGCAGCCTTGACACCTGTGCTTGTCGTAGGACACCTACAACATGCAGTTTGGCCAATTTCTGCAAGAATTTCTATTTCACAAACGCCAGGCTAAATTGACCGACGCCAATAACTATCCGCTTCGCCGTCAACTGTGCCACCGGGATTTCGTTGAAGGCAGCGTGTGTGCAGACATTCTTTTCGCGCTCTGTCGCCACTCCTCCCCCTGGCTAGTATCATATGACCATTCTTCGATCAGGCTGAGTATTTTTCTCCGCCCCAGTCCTGATGTCCAGGAATTTGCTTGCGATTTGCGTGGCCGTCCTCATCCCGATGTTCTCCCGAAGAACCATCTCCAAAAATTGACGAGGATTTTCCTATAAAATAAGGATGCCTCTTCGAAGAAGACCCCCTCGGCTACCATGCACTCCTTCCTAGCACTGATATTTTGTGCCCTTCTCGCCTTTGCAGGGGCTCAGCCCAGCCCAGTTGTGCCGAAGGGGTTCGTCACTCAAAGGAATGGAGAATTTCGGCTGAATGGCAAACCTTTCGTGAGTCAAATGGTTACTTGGCTTGTTCAGCGCTAATTGTTTAACTAGAATTTCGTTGGTGCGAACTCTTACGTGAGCCTCGCGTCTGTCCTCTGGCACCGCGGGTCGATTCAACGCCGTGTCAATGTCCTAGTGGGTCCCACTCCTGACAAAGAAAGAAGATGTGCACGCCACCTTCAGAGAAATGCAAGGAGCCGGTATCAAGGTTCTACGAACGTGGGTGAGCTATCCAAGTCGTTTCTCCAGCTCTTGTTCTCAACCGTGTGCAGGGTTTTAATGCCATCAATGGTTCTGAGCTTGCTTTGGCTCGCGAAACCGACCTGACCTACTATCAGGTATGTCTCTTTGTTCTCCTTTTTTCTAATTTAGTAATTTAGGCAAAGTATGCACTGTCCAGGTCTGGAACTCAACTGAATGGGTCATAAACGATGGCCCACAAGGCCTCCAGAGGTTGGACTATGTGATTAAAACGGCTGGACTGTATGGCATTAAGGTTATCCTTGCGTTCACCAACAACTGGTATGATCATTACCGTGAAGTGAGCCACTGAATACTGATATCTGTCCGTCAAGGGTGGGATATGGAGTCAGTACTGTTCATTGTTAAATGCGTTTGGTTTCTCATCTTCTGCAGGGCTCCGAGCTATATGTCAACTGGATCGCTGGTGCTGGCTCGACTCACGACGTGTTCTTCTCTGATCCAAGAATCATTGCCTCCTACCGTACGTTGAGCAGTCACACTGCGCGAGCAGATGGTTGATGCTCTGCATAGAGAGATATGTCACGGTCATCGTCAACAGATACAAGAATTCCCCCAACATATTTGCCTGGGAACTCATGAATGAAGCCAGATGCCTTGGAGATCTCCCTGCTGGTCCCAATTGCGTCGCTGGAACCAACTTGCTCAGCCATTGGTACAAGCAACAATCGGATTACGTCCGTTCTCTGTAAATTTCGAATTCTTTCTTTAGGAAGCGGGGATGTCCAATCCTCTCCACAGCGATTCATACCACATGATCACCACAGGAGGTGAAGGCCACTTCTACTGGCCAGACAAGAACGTTGGGTTCTGGCACAATGGGGTTTTCATCTCGGATTACAACTTCAACGGGCAAGGTAAGTCCCAGGTACTGCCGTCGTAAGATTCAGCCTGATTCTTCGCCACGATTGTAGCTGGTGAAGACTTCGACGCTGACCTACAACTGGAAAACATCGATTTCGGCACATACGTGAGTTCCAAGCACACCTATCGGAACCTGGATCCTCACCTTCGTCTATGATCAGCATATCTACCCACAATATTGGTCAGTACTCTAAGTTGGTGTCATCTTGTCAAGGTGAACAGTGCTGTGGGTGCAGGTACACGCTACTGGTCAGATCATGGCTACACTGCTATAACAACAGACAGCTAACATGAAAGCCAGGATACGCCGTCATCTACGAACTTCACAATCAAGGACTGGGGGCTGTCCTGGATCCAGGATCATGCAGACAGTAAACTCGCATCATGCCCGATTCATGCGATGTTGATGCTGAGACCGTTTCTGTTAGGCGCTAAGAAAGCCAACAAGCCGGTTATTCTCGAAGAATTTGGTGTATCTGGACTGCAGAACAAGACTGAAATATATCCGGAGTGGGTTGGGCTAGCTTTGAAAACAAGACATGCGTACGTTGCGTTCTCAACCCCCAACCTCTCATCGAATATTAATGTTGTTTTTAGTGGGTATGTGCCTTTGCCTCGCCGAAAAATGTGATTCCTTGACAACTCGCCGTAGTATTATGCCATGGCAATTTGGTATGACCGGCTTGAAGGAAGACAACCGTGTCTTTAAATATGCCGACTATATTATCGACGGTGTAAGTTCATTCCACTCATGCTGGGAACCGCTTGACAAACCCTTTCACTTGCAGGCATCACCGAACGACGGTAAGGCCTCCCTTTTCCATGAGAGCGAACCACTGACAGGACGGCAGGCTTCGCGATCTACAAGAACCAGACTGCTGTCTGGAATATCTTTGCGTAAGCAATGCCAGGCTTGAGGAGGCTCGTGCTGACAGGCAATTGTAGGAATGCGGCCAAGGTTCAAAACAGTCGCTCTCGCTGAACAAAATTAGAGATACCCAAAGGCGTTTCTCTCCTGCATCCGAAATGATGCACCAATAAATTTTATTTGGAATATCCCCTATTGCGATCCAATACAATCTTTGTCTTCCCGAATCTGTCCCGACTGTGCGCCACGCGTGCAATATTGTTATGTCGAGGTCGATAACTCCAATTGTATCTGTAACACCGTCCACACCCACGCGAGCAATGGCCGCTACCTCTTCAGGAGATGATTGTGATGCCTTGCGACGGCATCATTGGATATTCGGAGGGTGGCGCACGTTTTTTAACAAAAATATCTGTCGTAGAGACCAGGGCATCCTTCCACATTCTCACACTACTCAATGTCTCGGTTAAATACTAATCGACAATCGACAAAAAACCTTGACACGCACGAGACCTGCGCTTTTCGACCTTGATATTTCAAGGAATATTGATAGGTGGACCCTGCATTCAGGACCAAGGATATGTTCTCTTGGGGATGCAGCAATACTGTCGCACCGCCTGGGCCGCCGTCTTCGCCTTTATTTAGTTGGAGGGTCGCCGGCTCCGATAAATCGTTGAGAAATTCGAAAAGTATCTCGAAAGGCAGTGTACACGTCGGCATGATTGGAGTCTTGACAGGCAAAGCACCATTGCAAAGGACCTACAAGTAGAGGTGCAAGACTGTCAGATCGTACATCCGTGGCTTCGAATTCCCCACCGGAACACATCCTGAAGTGCTTCTGCCTCTGTTATCTTATTGTTCTTATTAGATCAAAAAAAAAGAGTCGCTATTGTCTTTCTCCTGCCTCGAGGCTTCATGCATCATGCGCGGGAAATATCAAGAACGGACTCATGGTGCTCAGGGCAAGATAGAGCTCCAAGAAAGAAGTCTATAGTTGCACTATAGAAAGAGGACAGTCATAAGTGTAACAAAAATGTGTAGTGCATTCTGATGCCGACAATGAAGCCCAAGGCGCGCCATAATTCACCAACAAAGGAAGCTGGTTACCACAATTTATGAGGGAAAGGATTCTTCATAAAGTCGACCCTCAACCTAAGGCATAACATGGGCTCCGGGTCTTCGTCCTCTTCCCCTTCGTTCATAAAGCCCATGACGTCAACAGTGAATTTGGCTACATAAGTGGCAAATAAGTGTCCGAACGTTGTAGAACTGAAATAAATATGCCACCTTTTGGGATTTCCTTGGGAAGTGCAACTGTGTGCTCAACAGTATATTCTCCAGGTTTGACTGGGCACTGAAGAGAGGCATTTGCGTTGCGCCTGAAAGCGGGTTGTCAAGGACGGAATGGCGTCACAAACGTAAACACGCACGCTTCATCGCACACATCGAATGTCTTGCTCAAGAGCTTGACCATACCGAGCTTGACCACTACGTCTGCATACGCCCCATCCTTGTGTGCCCTATGAGATGAAAATCTAGAAAAAGATAACGTGCCAGCGTACCACTATCGGTTCCGAGGTGGTCCCCTTGACCCGCACGGTCAGGTCTTCACCAGGCTTGGGAGGGTCGGGAAAGACTTCAATGGATTGGATCTGAACAGGATCGGTATCAAGTCCTGAGCATTGCGAGTGAAGTGAGTGTGGAGCGCCAGGGCAAAGATACGGAGGACGAACCACAATCCTCGTAACTCCACCCATCCATGGTATGAACAGGACGATCGACCTTCATTGGATGCTGCTCAGGAACACTGAGAGCCAGGGTGCCAGCTGCCAGGCTGAGGCCGAGTGCGAGGACGGAGAAGCGCATGGTGGATAAGGTCCAAGTTGTGGTCGTCCTCCTGAACAGGTCTGCCTCGGAGCAACTGACAGGCGTCACGGTGCTGGTCACACTGACGTACAAGGCTAGCCCATTTAGGAAATTACGTAAAGCACCTTCACCGCCTCCCCAGTCCGGCGTCGTCACTCCGCAATCTATCTTCTCTCCCACCACCATGAAGAAAGCACGAGAGTACTGTTGCTGTGCAATTCCGCTGGTGAATGCTGGGATATATGCTACGCTCATCGAGCAGACCTCCCTGGGCATCTTGGTCGGCACGCTTTCTGTAGCCACACCATCGAGTAAGGTTTCGCCTCTTAAAGTGCACACCTTCTGATGGCCTTGCAGTTGTCGGAGCTTCCACCCCTTCCTTTGCGCCTTGGATCCTCGGAGTTATAGCATACGGTGCTGCTGGCGTGCAAATCTTGGGTTTTCTCGGGGTTTCTAGGGTGTGTTATGGCGGTTTTGGGTTGTGTGCATCAAGCTCATCTGTGCATTCAGGAAAAACCAGACCTGTACAGAAGATACGTCACCATCCATGGATTAGTGACCTCCTTAGGTTTCTCTATAGCGCTCGCATGGATCATCATGTCTGCGACAAGACATTCAAATGCAAAGGCGAAATGTCTTGCTGATTTCTTCGTTACTGCGGATGGATCCACTGCCAGCGAAGGCGATACCCTCTGCACCATTTTCCCCTGGGTTGATGTGGGAATCATGGGTGGGTTATGGGTGCTCCTTGCAATTGTCCAGGTACGAATATTCATGTCTTTTGTGATCGTTGTTTTGACCCACTCTTAGGGATACCTCTACTTCGTCCTTTCATCTTATGGTGCCAACCAACGACGAGACCACGATCAATATGACCGTGTATATGACCCCTCTCAACCCCTCACTTCTGAAAATATCCCTCTCGAGAATGACCCTTGGGATTCACGACCTTCTGGAGACTATCATGACCAGGTTGGCCGTCAAGATTCCAAATACAAGCACCTTCGTCAAGAAAGTTCTGTTAGCGCTACAGACATTCTGAGTCAGCCGTCCCAGGAGCCCAAGGATGGTTTCTTAAATTCAAATTATGACTACGACCCGTACCCGTCGAACCAGCACGATGGCAGTCTGGCGTATCCATCGTATGCTTACACGCAGCCGGCTGCGCCGACACCAACCAACAACTACTATTATAGCCAGCCCACCGGCACTCACATAACGCCACCCATGCATGCCCAAGCTCATCCCGGTCGGTGTTGCTGGATTCTTATTTACCCTCCGTTCTGACCAACTCTTTAGCTGAAGGATCATTTGGGAGGAAAACTCCGCGACTAAACGAGACATGATGTCATGCTACACGCTTCGCGACGTTCGCGTCAAAGTTTTATCGCATTGCGGACTTTATTCCTCCTGCTGGACTCGTTTGCCTAGGCCGTTTGTGTACATTAGTTGGAGCGTAGACACGATAATCATACATAGTCTGTAACTTTAAGCCGAACAACATCTCATGTCCAATGACCGGATGACTGGCAATGATTAATGAGGCAGCACATGCACCGCCGGCAATTAAAGGTTTCTTCCCAAACGCCTCCGGAACGCTCTCTCTCTGTCCCTCCACAATTCGTTAACGCACGAGCTGGACGTTCCAGTGTTTGTCTACGGAGAAATTACACGCTGCCTCGTTTCTGCTTGCCTTGGTTCTGGTGGTTCTCTACCGTTGTTATCGCTCTAGGGACTTGTGACATGGAGATCATGTTCTCACTCAGGCCAGGACAATAAACTGAGCGTGCTTTCCCCAGGCGTCCTCTCTCTATTCTTCCCTGTCGAAGAACCGAATCAGAGTGTGCTTTGGGTTCATTTCGACTATCTCCGGTTATTGTCAAACCTCCACGTACTCCGATCTCGCACTATTGTATACCTACGCTTCAATAGTACTGCAGCATATGGCCTCATTCCATATCTCAGCTTCCAAAGATCAATAGCTGACGGGCTTAAATACGCAAGAACGCATACGCCTAACTTGGTTCTTCCCCTCGCTTTCTTCCTCTGTCGGCCTGTATTTTTATTTTCCTTCTCGTTCTCTCCATCAGCGTCTGCGACGCTCTATTACACCACCTTTTAATCTTCAACGACCCGTCATGCCCGCTCTCCAAAGCTACGACGTTCTCCTCGACCTCACGAACGATATGCACGACTCTGTCTCCATCCAACTCTTGCGGGATTATGGCCGACAATCCAGCCGAGTTGTCCTGCTTCAACCCACCGAAACCCTCACCCTCATCCTTGAATCGGGTTCCTCCTACCAATACGCGGTCAAGTCCCGCACGAAGGTCGCCAATGTTACGTGCGTATTGCCCTCCCGCTGATTTTACGGCCTCCTAATGCGATCTTCCATTGACAGTGCGAAGTCCTGGAGGGATATCCAATGCTGTACCTCCCAACTATTCAGGGGTAACTTGACGGAATCTCTCACCTCGAACGTCACTCAGGCAGTAAACGGGGTGAACGTCGACCGGGTGTGGAGGGACCACAGGTTCAACGTTTGGGCAAACGAAGCGTGATAAGCCTTATTTTATCTTTTCCCTGAAGGTCTGTCCCGGCTTGCCTTTTTCAATGTCTTCGCTCTCATCTAACGAAACACCCAGGATACCAATCTCACGATATCAACGACCTCCATATCTCTACCTCACCTATAACATATTCTTAAGATAATTCACGGGCATAATTTATTGGGGATTTCCTCTTGCCATCTCTGCCTTGCCTGTGTGCGATGCCTCATTCGCCATATCGATCGCTTACTTTCATGCGTTCTCCGAAAGCCCATAAGCCATCCCGCCCTGAAACTCGATGGCGAAAAATAATTTCCGGGGATAAAGTGATGCCTGGAGACAGCTGACCTTCCCTTCAACTCCATACATATTCACATCGAAAGCATGTTGCTACTCTCCTTAGAAGATTGGGGCCCTTAGCGACAAGTCTGATTAGGCATTGATGCTGGCGGAATACAGGCATTAGGGAATAGGATTGCCGAAGGTAGAAAAATACCCTTGACATAAAAGGGGGGTGCTGGTAGGAAAAGTTGAAAGAAGGCGGAGAACAGCTCCAGTAAGATGTCCCGATTAAGCACATTTGAAACCTTCCGTCAAAGCATTTTCCATACTAAAAACCGGTTTCCTCCTTTGCGTTGGGGATTCTGCGTCAGGAGCAAGAGCACCTGTGGCAATACTAAGAGCAGGTCTTGTTTCGCCGACGCGTTTATGACCAGCATGGCGGCGAGGCGGATGAGTTTGTGGGTTTGCCGCCTTGTTCTCTTCGTCCACGGACCTGAACACCATTGGCGTCGCAAGGAGTTCATCCTGCATTTACGCCATAAGCAGTTATAGCAGGTCAAATACGCGCGGAAACGTACTGCATATTCGGACGCCTTCTGTCCGAGGGCCTGCATGCCAGCTTCACCTCTATATCGAAGAACTTTTTGCAGATTCAGACGGGTTTTTGGCCTCAACACACCCTTCTCTTCTACTTGCTTGCTTTGTTCCTCTTTCAATATTTTTGTAGTGTTTGCAAGACCGGCATTAAGAATAGCTTCTGGCCGTTTCGACTTCAGCTTCTCTCGCAGCAGTTCCATCCCAACTGCCCTTGAGGTCATTTCCCACTTCAAATCCCGTGGGTTATCGACAAGTTCTAGGATGGCGTGCGGCGCATTGTCACCTGGTCGGTTTCCAAATTTGTGTATTCGAGTATAGCCTCCAGGTCTTTCGGCATATCGCTTGGCAAAGGTAGAGAAGAGTTTCGACAGCGCGAGAGGCTTCAATAGGAACGCGGATGCTCGGTCGTATGAGCCGTTGTCGCCCTTCTTGCCCATGGTGATAATCTGAGGCCCAATGAGAATAGCTCAACACGTTTCAAAGAGTAAGAACCTTCTCCGCCAGTCTGGCAGTATCTCTTGCTTTTGGAAGAGTCGTCTTAATTTGTTCATGCTCAAAGAGTGAAGTAACCAAATTCCTGGGTGTCGTGTCAGAGGTCACTTTCTTCCTCGAAGTAAGGACTCGTACCTCAGCATGAGCATCCGGTGAGATGATGTCCTTGAGAATTTGCGAAACGCGACGCCATGCTTCATGATGCAAGTACGGGAAAGAGGGCAACTTGGCAGTCGCGTCTCCGCTGCTCCTCCAAAATGCCGGATTATGTAATGAATTGTGCGGGACGTCGGGCCGAGCTCGTCGCCCAGGATCACAAGTCAAAGCATTGAATATGTCACTGGACCTTATACTAGTACACCGAGATCCTTGAGAAGGCCTACGTATTTACTTTTATCAAAACTATCTTGTGACAAGGTGAGGTGGGCAGACTCCCAATACGGTTATTTCCACCCTTCAACCAGCAAATTGGCTACGTTCCGAACCTTTATACAGACCGGAGAGATCGACGCGGAAGAGATGGCCCGAATCTGGGTATCGCTCCTGCTGAGACGCATCGCCTCCGTTAGCCCCACAGTGTGCAGTGGTGATAAACAGCTGATCATTGGCAGGTCCTGCAGAAAGCGCTCAGCGGCGCATTTTCAGAGAGTAGGCTCCATCTTACCGCCGAAACAGCAGGAAGTCACGTTCAGAGCCGTAGTAAATGTGATTTGAAAGTCCACATTGCCGTTCTTGTCAAAGCGAACGATCCGGGATCCTCCCCATCTGTCGTGTGATAAGGAAAGCAGATAAAAACAGTAGAAAACGGTGTACCGAGCACTCCAGACGCCGCCCTCATCGTCAAGGCACAGGCCGTCACAATAAGACGTTTCAGAAAATCCTTTCTCGACGGCGTTTACGAAGACCCGGCGGTTACTAAGCTGTCCGTCGTCGTAATCGTATGCGTAGATGGTGTTGAGGAATGAATCTGTAAAATATCTATACAATCGTTAAATCATAATTTTACTAGGTCGAGTAGTTACACCTGCAGTATCTTTTCATCGGGACTCCAACCAAGGCCGTTAGAATCCTGAAGTATCAGGGGATCAGTGTTGCAAGGCGCAGGAAGATAGGCTGGTGCGTACGGTGAAAGGTCCCTCATCAGCTACCACGCAACTGGCGTCGGAAGGATCATATTTGTAGAGCTTGCCCACAACACCCTTGCTTTGGTTGTAAACCGTCCCAGCGAAGTAACGACCCTTGCTATCACAGGCACCGTCGTTGAATCGAGTAAAGGGAAGGTGTTCTGGAGGCAGTGGCTGGCTGAGGAAAGAAATGGTCGAGTCCCCCAACAACGCAAAACCAGTGGCAGCCGTGCAGGCCAGCTAGATAATCAGTGAGGACGCATCTTCGTCAGCGTACTTCTCAGAGGACTAACTCCAGCCCCGTTCTTTCGCAAGGCGAGAGAAGTGATGGCTTCATCAAAAATATCGACAGAAATTTCTTCGGTAAGGGTATTGACATGAAAGACCTCAAGAGTAAGTGATGATGAGAAGCGATCGTCAAAGAGGCATGGTCGAGTATACGTACCTTCTTTTCAGAAATATCAACAAAATGCAAGACGGAGTTAGAGGAGTCGTAAAGGGGACCTATTGCCGGCGGAGACGAATAAATGGGGAGAAATCAGACTGCACTTGAAAGACGCACCCTCGCCCAGTGTACAGCCAACTGGGAGCCAAGGACGGTCAACAGTTATTTCCTGTCGTCTTGCCATATTTGAAGGTCAATGTTTTAGAAATAGAAGGGTGATATTCACGTCCTGAATGCTTGCCCTCTTATATATTGAGGAAACCTTCGAGGGGAGCTTGGACAAAAGGACACGAATGAATGGTTCCCAAAAGGGACGGCTCCAAACAGCGAATTGAACGCTGCGGGGCGAACGCTCATACGACCATTAAGTCAAGGCAGATGTTTTGACGGAACTCTGTCCACAGCTTCCGAATTGGAACAACGCTGGGAAGATAGGTCATATCTCTACTGATCGTACCGTCACATCAGACATCTCGCGGGTCAAGAGATCGAGAATAGCTAGCAGAAACAATGAGGATTGGTGGAAGCAATTTACAGTACGGAGTATTCCGAGTCGCCGTGCTAGCTCCAGTCCATTAGTGAGCTGCAAATCGGAAGAGACAACTGGTTAGCCGGAAAGAGTGTACGATGGATCAAGAAGACGATCGGACCTTCAGGTGTTTTGGCGATATAGTCAATGGCTGAACAAAGGAGAGGTTAATGGGTATTCCCGTGAAGCGCTTATGGAAGCAGACCTTGTGCAACTGTCTGGATCTCGTCCGCCTCAGCATCGGGTATTTCAATGGAGAACTCCTGCAGGACAGCAGAATGTCACTATCTCGACTTCGGGAGAGGGGCCTGACACCAACCTCCTCCACGGCCATCACGACCTCAACCGCGTCCAAACTATCCAGGCCAAGGTCTTGCGAAAACGAGGCTGTTGGGGTCAGCTGCGGAGAAGGGAGAGACAGGTCAGCAGGTGTCATACAACATGAAAAGAGAGCATGAAATACTTTCGCTGGGTCAATTTTCTCGTAGCCCTTGAGTGTCTCAAGGATGCGAGACGTGATGACTTGACGCGTCAGTCCACCGCCAGACGAGTACATGGCGCGAGGCACCCATATTCTATGAGCAGTATGTGTGCTCCGGGCAACACGAGAAAGACCAGCGGCTCTGGGAAGTAGACGAGACAGAAGAGACATTATGGGTAGTGCAAGTTTGACGAAACCAAAAGCGACGCGGAGGGAAAACGTCGAGACGTGACGCTAAGCCATTCCGGCGTTGTCCGACGTATTAGGTAAGAAATTAAAAGCACACTAAGTCCAGTCTGGGAGAAGATAAGTTGCGAAATACAGTATTATATCTTTTGGACAACAGAGGGGTCAAAAGTAGTTGTAATGAGTATGGACTGTTATGAGGAGGTGATTCAACGAATTATTGGTAGAAAAGAGGGAAAACATAGGCCAGGAGAGAGATTTCGGCAGTGGCACGGAAGATGCCGAAAGAAACTGTGCAGTAGACAGATAAGGTTTGAGGCCTGGTAAGCCACATGTGCTGGTCCAAGTCGGCGCAAACGCTCAACTCCTCAAGGTGAGAGCTCGCCTAGACGTTCCGCACCATTCCTGCTAAATTATACCCGTCTTTCTCCCCACAGGTCGGTATTCGTCTTCGCATTGTTTACGCCAAAAAAAATCATCGTTTCTGGCGCGTAGATCACGACAATGGCTACCTTCTCCTCGACACCCATCGTAATTGATGGCAAGGGTCACCTCCTTGGTCGATTGGCCTCCATCATCTCGAAGCAGATTCTCTCTGGCCAGAAAATCGTAGTGGTTAGGTGCGAGGAGATCAACATCTCCGGCAGCTTCTTCCGGAACAAAGTGTGCCTTTGGTCGAGTCATTCTGGGAGTTGTAATGCTCATGGGTTGCTCATAATAGCTCCGGTACCACAATTTCCTCCACAAGCGCCATATCGTGAATCCCAAAAAGTCGGGCCCTTTCCACCACCGGGCGCCATCCAAGATTCTCTATCGGGCCATCCGGGGTATGACCCCACACAAGAGTGCACGGGGTGCTGCCGCCCTTGAACGTCTCAAGCTCTTCGAAGGTGTCCCCCCACCATACGACAAGAAGAAGCGGATGGTTGTTCCTGAGGCGTTGAGGGTGTTGAGGTTGAAGCCTGGCCGCAAATACTGCACGGTCAAGGTGCGTGAAATGCAGTTTCTGAAGCCTGGATGGGCGATTAACATGCACGCTGCACAGCGGCTCTCTCATGAGGTGGGCTGGGGATACAAGGATATCGTAGATCGCCTCGAAGAAAAGAGAAAGATCAAGGCTCAGGCATTCCACGAGCGCAAGGTGGGTGACTAGTGGGGAGCTTACAGGGACGGCACTAACTAGGTGTCCTAGCTTGCTGCCATCAAGCTGCGCCAAAAGGCACTCGCAGATACCGCATCATCGTTCCAACAGCTCAGCCAACTGGGATTCTAGAGTAGTGAGGGGTAATTCTCGATACGTCGCTAGCGCAATATGCATACTATGTACTACGCCAGACTGCCCGCTATGATATGCCGCCTTTACTACAGAGCCATCAGATCTCGGCCAAGTCCGAGCGAGTGAAAAACGAATTTTTGAGAAAGCGAGACCACCTTCTACTCTTTCCTCCTGCCATTTCTGCCCGCCCCGACCGCCTCTTCTTCTCGCCCCTTCCCTCCCATCATGCCCTCCGACTCCCCCAGACACGAAAACGGTATGTCCCCGCCGTCGCCCCCGCCGATGCCCCGCTCACTGTCCGCAGCCTCCCCGCCCCAGTCTCGCTCGCCCTCGCCGTCTCCCCACGACACCCTCACCCTCCGCGCCCTTGTCAGCACCAAGGACGCCGGCGTCATCATCGGCAAGGCTGGAAAAAACGTCGCTGATCTCCGCGAGCAGACCGGCGTCAAGGCCGGCGTCAGCAAGGTCATCTCTGGCGTCCACGAACGTGTTCTCACAGTGACGGGCTCTGTTGAGGCTGTCGCAAAGGTCCGTTCTCTTTCAATCGTGTTCTCGATTCTCGTCTCATCTTCTGCAGGCCTACAACCTCATCATTGCCCAGCTCGTCTCCTCTGCCCCCTCCTCCCCAGTCACAGCCTCCCCGCCTTCCACGCACACCTCCATCCGACTTCTCATTTCGCACAATCTCATGGGCACCATCATCGGTCGCAATGGTCTCAAAATAAAGGCCATCCAGGATGGCTCTGGTGCGCGCATGGTCGCCTCGAAAGAGATGCTCCCGCAGTCCACCGAACGCATCGTTGAGGTGCAAGGCTCCCCCGAGGCAATCGGACGTGCCGTCGAGGAAATTGGCAAATGCCTTCTGGAGGACTGGGAGCGAGGACTGGGCACCGTGTTGTTCCACCCGGGGCCGAACGACGAGCGCTCAGCTAACCGCCGCGGTCACAACTATTCGTCATCATATGGCTCCCGCCGCGGCAATGGTGACGCTAGTACGCGTGGCCGTTCCTCTCCTCCCGGATCACCTTCCGCCGCCCACTCCCCCGTCTCAAGCCAGCCGCCCGCTAATCTCCGAACCCAAAACATCTCCATTCCCTCTGACATGGTCGGCTGCATCATCGGGCGCAGCGGTACCAAAATCACAGAAATCCGCCGCCTGTCCGGATCCAAGATCTCCATTGCGAAGGCTCCTCATGATGAAACCGGCGAACGTATGTTCACCATCGTCGGCACTCCCGAGGCCAACGAAAAGGCCCTCTTTTTGTTGTACAATCAATTGGAGAGTGAGAAGGAAAGGAGGGTCGGGAGGGAGGCCCAGCAACAAGCCGAAATGCAGGAGTAGACTGGAAGCGCTAGGAGCGTTCCGGGGTCTTTGTTCTCCTAGGTTGTTACATGGGTAGATGAGCCGAACACTGGCCGTTCGCTGTCTCTCTTTTTTTCCCGTAGCTTTTTTTTACCGTTTCAATCCGCTCCTTCTTGACTTTTCTCTTCGCCCCTTGCATGTCCTCCCCGACGTCTCTCTTGAACCGAAATCCTTCCGTCAAAACCGACATTCATCCATGCCCTTCGCCTTTGCCTGTGCCCGTTAGCTGTTGCTCTCCACTATCTCCCCTCCCGTCCTGATTGCATGCTCATCGACCAATGTATGATACAGCTTTCGTCTCACTCTTGTTGAACATCATACATTAGTCGGCCAAAATGCCATAAAATTCCCTTCCATTGTCCTCGATGCTTAGATAGACATGGTATGGACGTTTGTACGGTATGTGTGTAAGTATGTACTGTACAGTGAAATTTTTTGAAGATCTGTGATCTACGCGAGAAGGCGGTCATGTGATGAAGATTTTTTGTCCCTCGCCTTTACGCTTCGCGTCTTCCTCTTACAGTGACACTAATGCAGCGCTCATCTTTACCACCGCCGCCGCCATCCCTTCCCCAGAACTCAAATTCTTCTGCCTCTGGATCCAACAGCATGTACCAATATCAACAGCCAAGTGCCTCCTACGCTTATCCCACATACCACAGCCCTCACTATGCTCAAGCATATTACCAACCGGCTATGGTGCAATCAGCTGGGCAATATAATAACTCTTTTGCTCCCACAGGTACCAGCACAAGCCGAACATTTGGTGCCAGTACAAGAGGACTTAATGTGTCAACACAAAGCATGTCATCTTGGTACCAGGGTGGAACCCACCGCTGCTCTCACCCAGGCTGCTCATTTATGGGCTCACATAAAAGTGTCGAGACACACATGATGGACAGGCACCTCATTTTCCCTGTGGGTTGGGAAAAGCGAAAGATGAAGGACGACTGGGACGCTGACCCCAGCTTGAAAGGGTGAGCACCTTGTGGCTTCCCTCCTCTCATATTTACTCACTTTAGCATGTCCACTAAAAAGGAAGACAATCCCAATTCAAGGAACAAATGTTGTTCTGGACACCCCAGAAGTTATCGATGCATGGATCGAAGAGCGCAAGAAGCGTTTTCCTACGGCTGCCTACGTCGAAGACAAGAAACGCAAGAGGGAAGAAGCCATTGCGCGGGGCCAGCTTGACATGATTGACACCGGCGGCCGTCAGAACAAACGCCAGAAGATCGATAATAATCATAATCACAATCCCCGCAACGCTGCTCATGGCAATAATGGCAGGAATGCGTTCCAGGGACGGCGTCACGGTCAATTTTCTGGTGATCACGGAACGCAGGGGTCTGGGGCACGTTCAAGGGTGCCAGACGCTGGATGGCCCCGGAACGGCAAAACTGAAGCCAAAGAGTCTGCCCCAGAAACGTCTAAACGGGTACCTTCACCCTCACCCAGCTGTCCTTCTGATTCTGATCGAGATGACGATTGCGGAGATGAGCCCGAGATATTTTCCTCGAAGGCTTCATTGCCTCCCATACCATCCCAAATCAAAGAAGAACCTTCCAAATCCGATGGCGGCTCAGAGCCTCTACCTCCTCAACTTCAGATGAACAAAGACTTGGTTCGACCGAAGAAAACCCTGCCTCTCCAGCCTCGACAAGCGCCGCACAATCAGTTTGCCTCGAGGCCCTCGCTTCTACGGAATGTGAGCTGGTATCCTAATCCACAAATCATCACGTTGGTTCTCATTATTCTGCTTCAGCTACTCCTTCCTGAGATCCGAGCAACCATTTCTAACCTTTCCCAAGCGATTCGCTTTCTTGTGGATAATGATTTTCTTCGTGAAGTGGAGCTCAAACCTGGCCAGGCGGTTGAGGAGAACAAAATCCAAGTTCTTCCTCAAGATCAGCTCAGTTCGGATGAGAGGACGCTAGAGTAAAGTCCCTGTCAGATTATTATCTACTTTGCATTTATTCTACTATCGCGCCACACTCATCAATCGGTAGCCGACGTTTCGCCATCGCTGTCACTCTCGTTCTCGCCGTCAGTGTCCTCCATCTCGCTGGGATCGATCTCCATCAGCCTTTGTGTCACATCGAATCCAATCGCCTTCAAACCGTTCCCTATCTCTTCGGCCTTTGCAGGAGCTGTAACCACAACGGCAACCGAAGTATTACAATCGAAAAGAGGCAGGAAGTGCTTTTTCAAGGCTGCCAGAACGTCCTTCCTGGTGACGATTTGGTATTTCTCTAGAAGATCAACTTGGTGCGTTCTTGGAACACCCTTCAGGGCTTGGTTCGCGAATGATACCGTTGCCTAAAGGGTTTATGAACAAGAGCCTCGAAATGACGCAAACAGTCATCTTACCGCTCTGCCTGCGGTTGACACGTTTTTGGTGACACCATATACGATTGCACTCTTTGCAGAGTCAAGGATGGTCTCTTCGAAGTCAATCTGAAAGTGTGTTAATGAAGAAAGTCTCTGTCAGGGAACCAGAGGGCTCACTGTGCCATCTACGAGGCCGCGAACCACAGAGCCCGCTTCCTCGAAAGCCTTCATGCTGTTAGAACTCTATTGCAAATTTCAGCAACAGCCATGTTTGTGGATTTCTTTTGGACGTACTCGGTAAAGAGAGAAGTTAAGCAATCCGCCTTCTGGGTCCAATGAAACGTATGCACCATAAGCCAGTCCAGATCCTCGAATGTAACGCTATGTTGCGGGCAGCGCCGATGTTAGAAGCTGCCGCTTCACTAAGAATTAGACTTACCCAGAGATAGCTCTCCGTAGCATTGAGCACCTCAGCGGCGACGCGGATAACAGGAAAATCTGGATGATCGAATCCTTTGATACCCTTTGTGGTATGAGTAGCGAAGGAGCTTTCAATGGTTGGTAGGCTCATAACAATCGCCTTCCGTGCAATATTCTTTCCGACTTCACTGAGAGTATCATATGACACGGGAACGGGCGAGAGTGGCACGCTCTGCATCAGACATGAATTAGCAGAATGATAAGCACTACCTCATTTCTGGCTTACCGGCAAGGAAGACGAGAAGTGCTTGCTCCAAGTACTTCTTGGCTCCTTCAAACTGAGAACATTGCCAGTTACGGAAAATCTGACACCAGAGGGATCGATAACTGCAAGAATTTTTAGTCATGTTATCGTAGAAGGCAGTATCGAATACCTACTGTGTTTCCTAATCTCTTCGAAGTCGGCAATAACGTCAACAGGTGACTCTTGCAGAGATTCCACGAGTTTCGGGATAAATTCTGCTTGTGGAAGAACTCCCCCACTCCGCGATGTCGAATTCTCGGCGTACATCAACTCAGCCCAGAGGGACCCTAACACGTTATTTCCATCTCGCTTCATCTCGGGTAGAGACTGTTGAATCTTCGCCAGTGATACTTGAAGGCTGCGATAGAAGTTTTAAACGGGGAACAGCAGGAAGGTGAGGAGGAACATACCGGTCTTTGTCAAATTCGGATGAATACACCAAATCCTTCATCCAGGCAATCGCAATCGCATATTGAGCCGTTTCAACTTTGATGGTAACGCGGAAGAGATCAGTGAAGTTGTTGGATAAACCGAGTCCGACTTCATAAGAAACTGTCTCATCGTCGAGCTTATTGACCACTTCTTCGTGAGAGAGCCTTCCTCCAGATGTCGTGTTAACGGGCAAGGAAAAGAACGAAGAGAGGTAGGCAGATATATATCTGAGTGAAGAGGGAGATGGGAACAAATAATTCGCTGGCAGAGGGTTACTTACGGTCTAAGGCGGTTCGGCAGCCTGGCAAGAGAGAAAAGGCCATGAACTGTAACGAAGTCGGACTACTCACCGAGGAAGTTAGACATCGATTCATGTCATAGATTCAACGCGAAACGCACCTCAACATGGTCAAATTCAACAAAGAACGGTAATGGTTGCCCATCGGATTCGATGTGTTTGTACAACGGCTCAGTAGCGGACGGGGAGAAAGTGGCCTTTCTACCCTGGCCCGGCTCTTGGACGCTTTGCACTGGAATCCATGAGATGCTCTTCACATCTGGCACGGGGAAAGATGTTAAGATTTCATCAGGAATTTTTTCTCCATGTTTCGCCTTTGCTGCTTCTAATTCTGCCTCAGCATTCTTGAGACCTTCTGGACCTAGTCTTTTAACCTGAGCTGCGATCCTTGCCTTCTCATCTTTCTCTAATTTCTCAGCGAGAGCCGCAGAAGGCTTTCCAATTACAACGATCGAAGGCTGGTCAATGTAATATCTGTTAGAGAAATAGTGAGCTAAATATCCTCAGGGAAGAAAAAAAAAACAAGGAACAATTTACTTGGAGAGGAGGGCGGCCCATTGATCACTCGTCCAGGTCTTCAAGACATTGAAATAAGTGATTTCGTCCATTGACGCATGAAGTTCTGAACCATCTTCGGGTCCATAGAGGAAATCACTGATGATTGTGCCGGAGAACGTGTCTCCCTTCGCTGATTCCAGTCTGCTGCGAAGCTTGGGGCTTTTGTTAATCAAGATTCTTCGAGTCATAGACGAAAGGTCCACACCTGTCTTTCATCTCTGCTGATTACCATAGCCATGCGCTGCATGTCGAATCCTTCGCCTACGATTCGCTGGAAACTGGATCTAAGTTTATCATTGAACGTGTCAAGGTGTTCTGTTGGGACGGAGGTGATGTAGATGGGGAGATTCACAAAAGTTGCACGTGTGTCTTCACTGAAGTAAATATAGGAACTGTATGAAACGGAACGAATCAACGACACATCGACTGCACTCGAAAAGTAGAAGCCAACCAGAGAGGTGATTCTATCTCTACATATTCCTTGGTAAGTGGAGCAACCGCCGAAGACGTGAGATACGTTCCAAGTATGTCCAAAGCCTTGCGAGAGAGATGATCGCTAGGAGGTGGACCCAAGAAGGCAACGATAAGTTCGCCCATGCCTTTCAATTACGCGTCAATAAGAGGGGGGGAAAGACGTGCAGAACCTACTTTCATCCTTTTCTGGGAATCCTACAACATCCGTTGTAGCAGCGGCTATGGGCTTCCGATTTGCGCTCGGTGTCTCTAAGAAGGGTCGCTCCCAACCTGGAGGGCGAGGGCCTTTGTTTTGCCGGTGCTGGATGAGGCTCGGTTCTATCTTTTCTTGGACCACATGCAGAAGGGAAGACGTCCCACTGGTAAGTTTTCCAGCAACAATCAGTGCAAGATTGTGGGGCACGTAATAGCTCGAGTGATAGTCACGGACTGCCGAAAGTGTGAAATTTTAAAGAATGAATGCGGAGGAATAAGACGATTTACTTTGTTCCGGTGTTAAAACGCGCAAGGCTTCCATCAGACCACCGGTTTCACTGCGGTATCCGCTACCAGGAGGGTCGAGCAATCGTTGAAGTCTAAGCAATGATTAATGATAGGCCAATAATTTGGGAAAGTAGAATAAGATCGAACAACGTACCGAAGAGCCATAAGATCGCCCGACGTGTTTTCCCTCCCTTGCATTTCGCTGTAGACGACCCCAGAATCATTTCCTTTGCCGTCAATATGGTGAACCTATCAGAAAGATTGGACGTTTTGGGTAAGAAGAGTCTACCAAGGTGATTGTAAAGTGGCGACTACCTCTGTAACAAAGCTAGATGGACAGATGAGCGGAAATACTTAATAATAAAATGGAGGAACATACCCGGCCTTCGTGATGGTGGGATAGAGAATGTGGTCAACGTAGATAGGGAGCAATTGTAGGAACCCTTGTTCTCCAGCAGTTGAAATGGTGTACGCGGTATGATCAGTGTCCGTCCAGGCGTTGGTTCCGTTTGAAAATCCACGATTGGCAAGGAGATCTAAGACGCCCTTGTGGGGATACTTTTCAGATCCCATGAAAACCAAGCTGAAGGTACGGTGATCATGAACGATTCTAGCACCAAAATTGCGGCGTTGACGTACTGTTCGAGGGTATGAGGACATCCAGAATCGTCAAAGACTTTGTGGCATTGGCGAGGGCAACAATTAATATGAAAAAAAAGGAACTTACTTTCAGTTCCCACAACAAAATAGCCATCGACTATAGGAGCTATGAGGGGTTTCAGAACGTGTTATGAGGATGGCACATAAGCATGATCACACACCTTCGTAGTCCAGATGTACAACGGTCAAACCAGTGACTCTGCTCCTCCATTTAGAGACGACGACGTCAGTGAAGTCGAGTTTAATCCGCTTGATGAGATCGTAGTTCCCAAAGCTCTTGGAGGGTTGGGACATAGTAGGCGGAAGAGGAGAAGACAGGGATTTGGATTTGAGCGCTGCGGCCGTGTGCTGTGCCCGGAAGAGGAAGTTGTCACGCCAATTTGTCCGAAGAGGATGTGAGGGGATATTAGGAAGAGAACGACCACCACCCCGGGCCAGTGGCAGGCGTCTCCAGAGAGACGCGAGGCGCTGCATTGAGCACTGAGGCCTCTGGCGACGAAATACGAGCAGAGCCAGGCTCTGTACGCAATTCCCGTCACTACTCTCATCGGCCCGCTTTCTATTACATAATATGCGCCGACTAAGCGTCCGTCCACTGCGAACTTTATTTATGCCTTGCTTTCTCAGATCTCACTCTTCAGCGCACCGGTGTTACAACTACTACTCAACCTCCTGAATCGAGTTTCTCACAAATTCATTTTGATCATCTCGACGCGGAGAATCTCCGCATGGAGCAGTACCTCGATAAGAGCAGCCAAGCGAAGGACCTCCGTGTAGCCTGTTGCAAGTCCTTTCGCATTTAAGAATTATTTTCGAGACTCGACACGAAGGTCGGTCTTATCCCATCATTTCAACGCACATTCCCCTCCAAGATTGCAGTCTTTCCCAGTTCTTTCCCAGGTCGAAGATTGATTAAGTCGTCAAAGAGGGTAGGTTCCTTCGATCAGCGCTGGTAGTCTCATTCCACACCGTCATAGTCGACATGTTTCACCGTCTCGAAGCCCGGAAAGCCATAAGAGAGCCTGTAACGGAATCACTGCACCGTGCTGTCATTGGCAAAACGCGAAAGCTCACTCCTGTCCTTATTACTCGATCAGACGGATCTTCGCCCGTAGTCTATTCTCGACCTCAATGGGACTGATTGACGTTTTGTACCTCTAGATAAATCATGGCTACCTTTACCGCAAATGGTGCCTTCGAGGTGTCAAGCAGTGTGTCTCATGGTGTGTCTCTTACTTCTAGAGCCACACAAGTTGCATGCAGATCATGCAGATCTTGTATACTACTTCAAAGGGTGCTGGTCAGGCCGAATAGAGACCTGAGAGGGTGCGATTGGTCTCGGAAGGTATGGAGGAGCTCGACACACCGGTGGATTGGCGACATATGAAGGACGAACCGACACGCACAGGCATGTCGACCTCGAGCTATGGCGGATCTGGCCCGACTCAATGGAAGTCGTCGTCGTCGTCGCTGGACATGCTTACAATGCTCTCGGGGAAGTTGTCTATGTTGTTTGCTGTCTATGTTTTTTGATTGTTACCTGCGCTGTCCTGATCCAAAAATTGGCGACTGTCCCCATAGCTGTTGTCCTCATCTTCCTACCAGTGGAAACCGCAAAATAAACCGCTCCTGGTGCTGATGACTCGTCTCATTATGCTCCATAAGCAGTCTAGATGAAATTGGGGATGTGCAATTGACATGCAACCTGTTGGGTACAGAATATTCCTATTCAATGATTCGTCGATAAGCGCATCGACCTCACTCAGACCAAGAAAGCCCATCAAAAGCAGAAGAAACCAAAGTCGAGGGATGGCGGCAAAACCGTCGTCGAATGAAACTCGTCAGACATTGTATCGTGAACAGGGTATCCGTATGACAAGAATAAGGCTACGCACCATTATTATACACTGGTGACTGACGAGACGACCGAATTTCTAAGCAACTCAAGCTTCAGGGATCCATAGCTACGAACCAACCCAATTGCTCGGTGAATCCTTGCTCAGCGAACACCTTCAACTCCTCCACTTTGTCGGGCGGGGGAAGGAACTTGTCTTCACAACGCGTGCACTTAACAAGCGCGACGATCGTCTTCTCCCCAATGCGTGAATCTTTCGAATATACTTGTTTGGTGCCCGTTGTAGGCGAGTACCAGACTTCCTCGCATTTTGCTTCCAGATCCGAGAGGACTCCAATGGCATGGTCACCCAAGAGGCTCATATATTAGGTGATGCAGTTCTGTTGAAGTCAGCGATCAACAGGAAACCCCCAAAGGGCGGCGTTGGGGTAGCGTTCTAGACACCAGCGTATTAGGCGAGCGGGAGGATATTTGTCTGTCGTCCATCGCACCAAATTCATGTCGTCGTTGCCAGTTGGAAGCGTTGGTTGGCATTATTGATGTCAATCTCTTCGGCTCGCTTGCATGTTACATAAGTAATAATTAATACGCGTTTGCTCTGAGTCTCTTTTGTCCACCAACTTTCTAAGCCTCCTTGGACCGTCAAAACGCTTATGGATTCCTCTCACAAGAACAGTAGACCTTCCCCTGAACAGATTGCTCTTATCCAGAAAGCTCGATTGGAGAAACGAAGAAAGGCTGTTGAAGCACCAATTCCACCCACCATACTGGTTTTACGGCCATGGCTGACTCTTGACCGTGATGGATCATCTCGAAATGCTTCTCATCGAGTAAAGATACTCTCGTGGAATGTCTGTGGCGTATTGTTCCCTGATATCAAGATGACTGAAACGTTCTTGTCAAGCTTCTTGCCCAGTGCTTAATTCGTGCGGTCTTGCCTGCGGAACAAATAGCCCTTTTCTCAATCTGTCTCAGGGCGCGAACTATTCCCGACGAGCGACTGCTTAAAAGCTGGACAAAGAGAGCCTATGATACACGAGGAAATCATCAGACAAGACGCTCAAATCCTCTGCCTTCAGGTAATCAGACCCTCCGAATTGTCTGTTAATCGTTCACCTGTGTTCAGGAAGTTGACCGTCTTGAAAAACTGCTTCCAAAGTTTGAGAAAGCTGGTTATACTTATTGCTATGCATCGGGACCACGAAAAAAGCACGGATGCCTGATAGCTTATAAGAAGGATCTGTATTCATGTGTTTCGGAAAGAGTTGTCTTCTACGACGACCAATCTGTGGACGGTGACGCAGAGGACAAAACCCGCATCGGGAACAGCTTCAAGACCAGAAATATTGCATCATTAGTCGCCCTCACTCGTAACGGCGGCGGAGGCGAGGAAGGCCTGATTATTGGGACAACCCATCTTTTCTGGCATCCTAGGTATGAAATTTCGCTTTTTGGTCAGTACGAACCATTCATCGTTCATAAATGCTAGATACACCTATGAGAGGATCCGGTAAGCTACATTCGTTCGTTACCTCTGGGTCAATAGTTTACCGTCGAGCAGACAGTTGGGCATCATGATTCGTGAGGTAACTGCGTTTCGAGAGAAGCTTTCCGCGGCACATTGGCCCTGCGTCTTGGCCGGCGGTGATTTTACTGATTCAAATTCCTATGCACACAGTATCTGACCTCAATCCGACAGACTTCAACTTTACGCCGAGCGACCCAGCATACTCTCTAGCAGTCGGCGATGACCTACTTCCAGAGCAAGAACAAATCATCCACCCATCCCGTGTTGTGCATAGCTCCTTGGACCCTTCGGTTCTCCTCAACCTTCCTGCCACACCGAAAGGCACTGACGAGGATGATGCCGAAGCCGTAGATCCAGATCGCGTCATCACCAACGCACGACCTGCAAAGCCGGAAGATGGGCTGCTTACGGTCCCGGAAATTGTAGCCTGGTTTCGCCAATTACCGAGACTCAGAAGTGCGTACAGTGACGGCATTGCCGCTGCTCGAGGTCATGGCTATGACCTCCCTACGTTTGGCATTCGAGCGCAGCCACCGATAGGTAGGCGAGGCTCTGAGGAACCCGAATACACAAGCTATACGTACTACTGGAAGTCAGTTTTAGGTATGAGGTCTTGTTGTCTCAAGTGTCCCAAGTTCACAGGTTTTCTGCAGACTACATCTTCTTCATTGATCCTCCCACTATCTCTGGAAGCATTACTGGCTTATTGGCGCCTCTCACAACTGCAGAACTGGATCCAGGCATACCTAAGCTAGGCGTGTCCGGAAGTGACCATACTGTTCTCGCCGCTGAGTTGAATTGGTGAATGTAATTATTATCATGATCTTGGTAATCGTAAGGAGTGAATGGAGAACAATTTCAAATGTATCTAAAGAATGTGATAGTCTTCCAGTGTAAAATAAAGCGTCGGCGTAGAATAGTGAAATTCTGGTATAAGTGTGTTAATTGTCCAAAGGTGTATCTAAATCAAAGTCTTCGTGAGTGCTATTGCGACAATGAAGCTTAGCGCTGGGCCCTGTCCGATCCGGCCAGGAGACTGTCAAACAACCCGCCTGCGGAATTCTCGTTACGCAGCTGAATCATGTAAATGATACCTGTGCGAGCACCCTTGTCGCTTAATTCTATAGCGACACCTGTTTTACCAACTCTCTCAACACCGTCTGTCAACACGATCGTAGAGATTAACACAGACTTGTCCTTGTTGTCAGCTTCGACTACAAGCTGCTTGATGTTGGTAGGGTCTTGACGATATAGCTTGAGCTTAGCGGATCCAAGAGATTTCCATTGGGCATGGTGTTGTTGCAGGAAGACTTTGCACTTCATCTGCGCAGAAATTGTAGAGACAACAGGCCCAATATGCTGCGGTTCTTGCATTGGGGAGTTAGGAGGGCTTGGGTCAGTGAAAGGCGTATCTGCCGTTGACATCATAGAGAGTGCGCGGAATTGAGCTGAGGGAAGTGGGAGGCGCGCTTGCGGGTTTTGGAATCCTCCGGGGCCTCCAGGCCTACCGCCAAATGCGTTCATTCCGTTCGAGGGTTGGCTAGGATGATATCCAGCAGGCATGGAAGGTACAGGAGGTGCAAATCCAGGAGCATCATGAGGATTGTACTGAGATGAAAGAGAACGGGTCGAGGGCGTTTTACGAATCCCGGGGCCCATCGACGGCTCAGATGGCGGCCGCGGAGGAAGTCCATTTGGCGGATACTGGTTCGGGGGAGGACGCATATTGGGATTGACAGGATATGACGGTTGATGGAACTGAGGATGAGACATAGGAGGTGGGCCGTTCATTGGTGGAGGCCCATTCATCGGGAGAGGACCAGACATTGGTGGAGGACCAGACATGGGGGAAGGGCCACCCGGGCCCGGACCATAAGGACCATTAGGGCCAAGCGGCAAATCGGTACCTGCTCCTGGTAAGAAACTTGTACTTCGTGCAGGAGGGAGCACATTGTTTGGGCCGAAAGATGGGCCCCGTGAAAGCGGTTGAGCAGAAGCTGAAGATCTCATGTAGGGCTGGCCAGGATGAGGGGGTAACTGGCCGTTCATACCAGGAGGCGGAAGTCTACCATCCACATACGCTGGGGGTAGCGGTTCAGTAGCAGGCGAACCAGACCGGCGGGAAGATGGGCTCATGCTGCCACTCGTCCTCTCTCCTATTCTCGGAAGGACAGGAGTTGCAGCAGCGACCGCGTCTGTTTGAAGGCGAGGGAATGCATTGAGCGATGGCACCGGTGGTGGCGGCTGCTTAGATGGCGGAGGTACTGAAATATGCATGAGATCCAGACGCAGACGGTTTTTTACGCAGGTTTACCACTCACGTGTGCCAGAAAATTCAATGCACTCCTTGAAGTGCGACATGAGGGCGTCTCGACCTTCTTTGGTGATCGTTTCTAAAGTGATAAACTCCTTTCGCATGATGGCTACTTGCAGAGCATTTTCTATACGGAGGGTGAGGGACCACGACAGCCCAGAGAAAAGAGGGGATACTGACCTTGTCCACTGATTTCCGAGACTCTTAGAACCTTCCCAGCAAGTGGAGGATAGCACAACCACATGTCGGCCCCATCATTACCGCGTTTCTGGCGATCTTCAGGCGAGATTCTTTCACAGACAAGGAATAGGTCCGACAGGAGAAAGATGTGGCCTTCGCGATGGACGACTTCAACACCCGTGGATCGCGGAGTGAAGCGAATGATCACATCTAGGGATGTACGCATCTCACGGGTGAAGGTTAACGTAGGAGGGGACATTTGCAATTTCACAGACTGTGGGTGATCAGTTACTTCGTATCCTGGAGCAGAGAGAAAAAGAGAACCTTTGGGTTCATCGTGAATATATCCAGAGTGCGTTCTACAGAAAGTCTTCTCTCGAGATCCGTTATAGGCATAGACATTGTCTGTGTAGATGCGCGGCTGAGAGAAGTCGATTCAGATTCACGGGAGGAGCGTTCGCTAACAGCCATTCAGCGCTGTTAGATACAATGATTTTGACGAAGACTCACCCGCCAGAAAAACTGGAGCTCGTCTCACTCCCAGTTTTTGTATCGGTCAAAGACTGAGAAGGGGGTGAAGGGGGACTCAAAGACTTTCGCATATCTATTACAACTTCATCTTCCGTATCCACAGGTGCGGCAGGTTCGTCCGCTTCTTGATCTCCGACCTTGACATTGCTCCGACTATCCAACATGTCAAGCAAGTGATTGAGGGTCTCAACAGCACCAACAAGGCGTCGATTGTCAGTGTTCTTCAAGAGACGGTTGTACAACTTTAGGTAGTACTTCAGGCGTGCTTTCGGAAGAATGAAGAGGGCGTCTAATGTCCAGATACCCTCGTTTGATGGCGCCGGGTTTGTCGAGGAGAACTGGGTAAGAATTGGGGCCAATCGTTGATTTGATTGAACCGGAGGCCAAGTATCAAAGCCGGCCGTGTATTTCGTACAATAGTTCTCGTAAGGTTTCTTGAGGTCGTCGATCTACGCATTGCTCAGTGGACATTGAAACGCCCTACATACGGAGGCACGCACCCAGTTGATAAGTAACCCACCCAGTTCGCCAGCTGATTTTGGATCTGCACTGATATCCTTAAGGCTCTGAGATTCATGTCAGTAATACCAAAACTACAGGATACAACACGACTCACCGCATGCAGGCCTCGATTCGCTTTGTATATTCCTTCTATACTCCTGAACATCTTGTCTAGCTCGGGAGGTGGTAAGTTCGAACGAGACCATGCCGCTGCCACTTTCTGGAGACGTTGATCAGTTATTGCGTAGTTTAAGACAATGATGACCTTACTCGTATTATTCCTGTAAGTTGGTCAACAAATATCTTCTCTGTATCGACGAGATCTGTCAAGGGGTTGGTCCTCTTCGGCTTGCCTTCCTTGCCCTCTGGCGCAGGAGTGGTCGGTGTGGTTGGGGTCATGGGCGCGTTTGAACCTGGCGTGGAGGAATTAGCAGCTGTCATCATATGGAGCCGCGACTGGGCGTGTTGTACTACCTTGGGAGTCCGAGGCCGGCAGGTTGAGCGTCTGAGCATCTGACGCCATGATGGGTCTGGTTTGGGACAGGGACGGAGATGGTGAGGGAAAAAGGGACAGCGGGGGCCTGGTTACTTCGTGTAGCTTGCAGGCGGTGCAGGTGATGATGGGCTCATGAAAAACAGGCGGAAGAGAGTGCAGGAACACGCGACGACGACAGCGACGACGACGACGATGACAAGAAGCAGACTGGGAACGCCAATTATGTCGAGAAATTTGACCCATTTGACATGTCAGGGGCAAATTCGTCTTCGCAACACGTGACCGACCTTGGCTCTCCCCGCCATGACAGACGACGGCAAACGGCGCTTCAGCACACTCGAATACCCAGTCAAATGGGCAGATCGTGTATTCTCCTCCAGAGCGACCACAGAAGCCCTCCTTGCCCCAGAGAGAGAGGCTGGAAATCTCACCAGCCACGACTATGATGCAATCCTCAACTTCCATTCTGGCGGTTTCGTCCGCCGCAACCTTCCCGTGTGTTACTGCAACGCGTCTTCTGCCTACAATCTCATGGCCTGTCCCATCTAGCTCGTCTTATTCCTTGCAAGTAGCACAGGTGCTGCCCTTACGATCAAGCGGCCAAAATGGTCTCCTCTGCAACGGAACCTCGTCGTGCTCAGCTTTGGTGCTGGAGGATGGGTCTTCGGTGCTGTAAACAGGATCACTTCATACTCGAAATTTCTGGGAAGTATAGAAAATCCTGCCGGATTCAAGAAAGCGCTGCATAATATACAGAATCAAGTCGGGGTGCCTTTGACCGGGCCTGTTCTTGTGCGCCCTTACCAGCCTTCACCGGACGAGATTGAAGAGCAAGACTCCACGACCGGAAAGTACTTCAAATCAAAAAGTTCGCTTTCATGACTGAGATGTATATCTGTAGGCTCAACAATTATTCTTCCTTCTTCAAGTCCTTCACCCCGGCCAAATCCAGCACCGACGCCGACCAATAAATGGGATCAAATTCGACAGGCGAATAACCGTAGCGCAAACGCCTCAACATGGGATGCTCTCAGGCAGAAACATGAGCGAGACACCTTGAAGTCTCAGAGTTCTCGGAACCCAAATTCAAGTGACGATGGTGAAGACACCTCGTTGTGGGACGGAGACTCAAAGACTCCCAAGGACCGTTATCAATAATTGTCTGTAAACTGAACCTTGATACTGCAGTGCTTCGGTGGGCTGTATCTACTCAAATTCCAAACGAAATCCAACTACTTTTTACACAACATCGAAATCTGCGAGAAAGATAATAAAAAAACAAGGCGTCCGTTGAATCAAGCAAAGCATAAAAGAGAAGAGTCTTTCACATAGCAAAATTGGTATTTGCAGGAGAACCAGAAATGTCACGCCTTGGCCAACCAACTCCAGGCATTCCGCTTGGAGAGACTGAGTTATTCGACGACCGGTTGGGCACGGATTGGTCCTCAAAGGAAGGACTGATAGGCAGAAGTGCTGCGCCATCCTCGGCAGGAACACGAGGGATTTCATCTTTCCTGAAAAGGCTCGAGTGGGAGAAGGGATAAAGAGGTACGCCGACTTCCAACGGCTGCTTCTGCGCTGTCATTCGAACGATCTCCCTCATAAGACCTTGCAACAATCTCTCCTGCCGGGCTGCACTCAATTGTCAGAAACAGCTCGGTTTGTGAAGAGAAAGAACGTACTTCCGATGGGAGAGCGCTGTCCATACTCCATCATTGCGAAGCTAGTCAAACAAGTTGAGCTACAAAAGAAGAGAGATTTAGGTTGAACTCACCGCAGGACGTTAATTTCCCCCCAGACGGTCGATTCCCGATCGGAGTCATTGATTTCTATGAAGTACTTGCAGAGTTGGACTTGGACCACAGCTGCAAGATACCAACAAATCTTGAAAGAAAGATAGGTCTGTTAGGCAAGACTGAGTCATATGGATGTATTGATTTTACTCACTGTGACGAAGGGATGAAGCCTAGTGATGTCTAGAGAAGTTGCCGACAACGCGTAATACGCAGAAAGAATAGATCTGGCAGAATGGACACATCGGGCAGTAGATACGTTCTGTGGATCTGTGAAATCGATGTAAGGGTTGTGTAAAGTAATAGTCGCCCTAGATTTACAACCTGTTAGAGGGAAAGTAATGTAATTCGAACGTTTCTGACTTACGCATGTGGGACAATATGAACCATGTACATGTCAGTGTCCAGTGCCGTACCATCAGCAGCATCGATAACTCCGGTATTATTCTTGAAAATCTGGGGAAGGCTTTCCAAAAACTCCTGGGCAACTAGCTTGTCGAGTGGTTCGAAGCCAGGTAGAAAGAATGGATTCTGGTTTTTGCTGGGTGCAGTCGGTGCCCTGAGGTTGCCTCGCACATTGAAGTCAGTGACTCTCCCGAACAGCATCACCGCTTTGATGAGGAGTAAGAAAGAATCTGTATACTGGGGAGGGTGACGAGTGAAAACATCAGGGGAAGATAGGTCCTGCGGGTTGCTAGGCACGGGAGCCTACCGAATACAATCAGATTACAATGGGTAGATTTCAGAAGACGCGTCGACCCACCTCTGCTTCAAAATCTTCGTTTCGCAAAGGAAGCTCAGTACCCAGATCGCGCTCGTCGACTGCGTGAATCCAACCACCGACAGAGGCAATGCGATCGAACATAATCGTCATCCACCAAGTTCGTCTCCTCGATTCAAGATCGCGGAGATCTTTGGGAGGAGCCAAGTACGCGCCGGGCGAGTTATTTCCGTGAGTAGAAAAAGTGCCGGGGTAATTCAAGCGCAGGGGAATAGCAACTCGTGTTTGAAATGCGGCAAATATCCAAACCTCCACCCAGCGTCCTTCTTGATAAAAATACCAAGAGAGAAGGATGCAAGCTTGCATCACTGAGAATATGTCTTCACCGCTTGCCATCGTTCTATCAATGTATTGCCGCGTCTTGCTAGCATGAAATTCAGCGAATTGATCACGTCGCGTTCCGTCGGGGAGCGTGACAATGTTTTGAGGAGACCAGCGAGAGGCAGATGCACACTGCGAAGAGCGTCAAGGTCCAACATTAAATAGCTATAAAGCTAACTGACTCACAATTGCGTGAAGGATTGCGGAATGAGGAAAACCTGGGTCGCGAGGAGACAAACGCATAGATGCTAGAAAGGATAGCCTATGCAGGACACGAGATCCACAGGGATCACATCTGAAGAATATGTCGATGCTGATCTGACATGAGCTTTGTCCCAAAAAAGAATAAGATGCGTACTAATGGTTTAATGTGGCGGGATCCGGA